TAATGGTATCCTGATAGATATAATATAAATAGCTTATTTATTGAATGACTTCTATGATCTAAAAACTTTGCTAGGTATTTTACTTTTTTTTTTTTTTAACCTTTACCATAACTTTGCAAAGAATGTGGCATTATTCTCATTTTACAGGTGAGATAACTGCAACCTTATAGAGGTTTAGGGACAAAACCCAGGGTTTCTTGGCCAGTAAGTAGAGGAGCTATAATTTGAACCCAGGTCTGACCTCAGCAACCATGTTCTTTATAAACTATTACTAACTTTTAGTCTTAAGGTGATGGAAATGTTTTACCTCAGGGTTTTTTTTTTGTTTGTTTTAACATGAGCATTTTGAAAATATTTGGAATGTTAGTATCTTCTTATAGAAGCAGAGAGTTTGGGTGTGCCTGTGGAACCAGAAATTTTTCAGAGCCAAAAAGAACTATTATATTTTACTTAAATAAATTGCTAAAAAAAAAAGAAAGAAAGAAAAAAGAAAAGGGAGGAAAAAAAGAAAGTCATGTGTAGCAAAACTTTGTTGAAATAAAAAAAAAAACTTTTAAAAGAGCTAAAATCAAAGTTGACCATGTAAGTGGAATTCTCGGATTTTATTTCTAGGAGAGAATTTTGGTCATCCAAGCTGATTCTCTCATTTTCTTTAAAGAAACGGAGCCTTATGAGTTAAGTACCTCCTTTACCTGGCGCTGTGACTGTGTCCTCTGACTCCTGGTCCAGCACTCTTTCCACTATATTAGATGCTGCTTGGAATGGCTGGGGGAATGGGAGTTAGTTGATGGTGGAGAGAGAGATTTGTAATTTTAGCTAATTTATTTTTAAGTGAAAATTATACCTATCGGCCCAGCAGTTCATATAAGTTTCCAGAAAAGGGGAATGTTCTTGTTTTCCACTTTGTGACATTAACCGTAAGCTGTGGCTCTGTGGCAACCAAAGGGAGTTAAGTTAGCTAGTTGCTGCAGCGAAATGCCTCGCTAAATAAGCAGACTGCTGGTTTAGTTCCTGGGCATTGGTGGTAAAAAGAGATCTGCATTATCCTAGGGCCTGGAGTAAAGGTGTACAGCACCCAGGTCCTAAATAATCTCAGGAAGCCTAAATAATTAGAGGGAAAGAAGCAGACCTATTATGTGGAATAAGCAGGACAGGCTGGAGAATGGATGCTGTTAGGTTGCTGAGTTGAAAGTGCTGGAGAGAGACGTGGCATGCAGGCACAGCAGCAAGCAGGGAGCGGTTAGGTACTGGGCATCGGGGAGGGTGCTGTGGGGTCAGCGGGTGTATAGGCGTGAGGGAACCTGCAGAGATAGAGAAGGTAACATCCGACATGAGACTTACAAGGGTGGTTAAGATTTTTCAAAGAGAAACACATCCAGAGGCACAGGGAGTATGAAGAGACTGGTAAATGTGGCCAGAGCATAGGAAGTACAGCCTTGCCCAAGATGGGGCTGAGAAAGCATTTGGGGACCCTGTTCTGAAGGGATTTGGGTGCTATTCAAAACGAGGAAAGAAGTAATAGTGTTTGGAGCTGGGTAATGACATGGGATCTGCTTTAGGCAAACACAAGACTGGTTTGACGAGGGTTGAAACCTTACAAGCAAGAGGTGATGAGGCCCTGAGGAAGCACAGAAGGGAGACATGAGAAACACTACAAAAGTAGAGTGAAAATAAGAGCCAGGGATCGGAGGCGTTGAATATAACGGAGGATTCTCTCCGGGGTGACTAGGGGTCACCCCTGAAGGAGAGTCGGGGCAGGAATTGATGAGCTTGCTTTTCCACATGATAAACATGGAAGACCCTGCCTCTGCAAGGCCTTCAACATGAAGATGACTAGCAAGCAGCTGGAGACACAGGTCTTAGTATGGGGGAGAGGTCAGGTGTTTTGAATTATTTAGAGATACAAGGCAGCTTATAAGAAATAATTGAAGGCCTAGGATCGAGTATAATACTGAGGAGAGGGAAGAGTAAGAAGAAAAGGGGGCCAATCACAGAACCTTGAGGACGGCTATAATTAGGGGACAACAGGAGGAGATAAGGGGCATCAGAGGAGAGTTAAGATAGACATTTGGGGAGATAGTTTTAAGAATGAGGATGTAGTTGACAGATGATGGGAGGACAAATGGTATCATTTATGACTGTAGAGGGAGCAGTTTCAGAGGAATGATGAGGACAGAAGGAATAGAGAAGAATGGGAGATGACACGGGACAACTGATATACTGCTTTCGAGAGAGATGAAGTACCGACATAAGAAAAAATCAGTTTGAGGGAGGTGAGCTGTGTCATCTCATCCAGCCCCTGGTCCAGATTGGGGAGGACAAGCTTATTTATAGGATGAGAGAAAGATGGAGAAAAGAGAGAGAGAGGAGAAAATTTAAAGAGAAGGGTTCTGGATAACATGTAAGCAGGTGGAATTATGATGAGCACAGGAGGTGGGATAAGTCTTGGGAAGAGAGATGATTCTTTCTTGGAGGCAATAAGGATGGAAGAACAGAGTAAGTGAGAAGCGGGTGAGAGGAAGATTATAGAAAGTACATACGTACCCTTGGTTATCCTCTTCCCTCTCTCCCACCACCTCAGCCTCTCATGAAGTAGGGGTAGAGTTATAATCTGCTGAAAAGGAAGGAGGTAGGGTTGAGGGTATTTGAAAAAATGAAAAAGACATGCAACAACTTCTTAAAGGAGTGTGGGAACTTTCAAGGGCAGAACTGAGAGCCCACCCAGCTGAGTTTGAAAAGGAGCATTTAGTAAAGCCAGTGAATTGAGTCATTTGATTTTCTCTGACTTTGCTGGGACACCTAGATGTTAAAGTAGTGGAAACAAGTGGTTGGGAACAACCAAAACAAGATGTGATGTTGGAGAAAGTTGCTTAGTTGCCTAAGGTATTGCTTAGGTCAGTGGTTCTCAAACTTTAGCCTGGTTAGAATCAATGAATTTCTGGGCCCCAACCCCAGAGTTTCTGATTCAAATTTGAATTTTTAACAAGTTCTCAAGTAGTGCTAATGCTGCTGGTCCAGACTCAGACTTTGAGAACTTTTGGCCTAGAGTCTAGTTTGAAAAGGTTAGTCATGGGTTGCAGGCCAGAGAGGCAGGATAGGAGACTCCAGGAAGGGGCTGAAGGACTGTGAGAATAAATACGATGGTGACAGAGTATGGGGTTCCAAATGAAGACAAGGCCGGTTCACTGGCTCCGAGGACTTGGGGTAAGTGGAAGGACAGAATCTTGTGTTTAGAGAGAATCCTAGATTGTAAAGCTCTTACATGGCCTAGAGCAAGCGTATTCAAAGTATTGGGCTTCCAGGAAATAAAGAACTTGTGCCTGAGTGTAACTCAGTGTACTACTTCCTTGTTTGAGAAAGTCTTGTTGTCCCCATCCCACACCCTTCCTCCCCTAAACAAAGTCAGCTAGACAGACCTGTGCGTAGTCATGTAATTGATTTGCGCACTGGCACAAGCTCAGTTCCTAGACTGGCATCACTCGCAGACCTGACCTGGTACACAGACCACACTTGGAGAATCCCTGGCCTTGAGTATAGATTCTGGGGTGGGGTGTTATTTAACAGGCGCTGAAAATGAAGGATGTTGGAAGAGTGAGTCCAGGACATTGTTTGGACTATCAGGAGAAGAATTCTGCAGAAATACAAAAAAGAGAAATTTCTGGAGACTGGTGGATGATCACAGGACCAGAATGGGAAAAGGGCAGTAGAGCAGCACGGCCTGGGCTCTGAGGCTCTGAGAGGCTATTGAATGCCAGTCTCAGGCTCCAGTCGGGAGCAAGTAAAAGAAGCCTAATCATCCTCCAGGCCCTTGGGCTGTCGAATGAGGGATTGTGAGAAGGAACAGTCTTCACTTTAACACAGACATCAGTGACAACCTTGCTGGTCTTTGTTTCCAAAAATCGTTTTAGGCAGATTTTGTGTGGGCATTTTAAAAATCTTGTTTCAATAAAGGCTACATGGGAGCAAAGTTTCTCTTAGTTGACTGGTATAAACAAGCAGTATACTGCTGGAAGAGACATTCCCTGGACTTCTTTTATTAGGCCAAGGAGGGAGAAGTCCATTAACTGAAAATGTGGAAGATACACTAGATAAGCCATCGTTGGGATAAAATTTTCTTCTAAGAAGCATATATTAGACTATTTTTAAAAAGTTATATTTTCTTTAGTAACTATTTCCATAAGCTAAAACTCAGTTATTTAACTCTAAGAAGCATCTTTCCATAAAGTATGATGTATCCTACACAGCCTGTTTGGTGATCCCATGAAAATTTTCATTGTGATTTCCTGAAGTATCTTCAACTAGTAAATAACATTTCCATAGGAAAGTACAATCATTCTTATATATAACTTTCTTCCCATGTTTAATATCCAACTTAGTACCCATCCCATCGTCAGAGACTAGGAGGGGCTGTTGAATGAAAGTCTCAAGTTACAGGAATAGGCCATAGTGAAAAGAGGCAGAGGAAAATGGTGGTTTAGAATACAGGCTCTGGGCAAACCTAGATTCATGTGATGGTGGCTTTAACATTTACAGACGCTGTGACCTTGGCCAAATTAGTGAGTCTAAGCTTCTGTTTCCTCATGTTCAAAACAGGATAACGGTATAATGTCATTGAGTTGTTATGTGGATTAAATGAGCTTTCTTATAGTACTAAGCACAGGGTGTACCACATAATAAGCATGCCATAATTTCTAACTTATTATCATTAGCATTATATTGTTATTAAGGGAAAGCGTAGTCCTTAGGGTCACAGAAGTTTGGATTTGCATCTCCTTTTTCTTAGTTCAAGAAATGACCTGACCTTGGCGAAGTTATTTAATACCTCTGAACCACCTTCTCATCAGTAAATGGGAGTGGTACCAACTACCGTATACGATCATTGTGAAAATTAAGTAGTCTAAATATGTAATGTGTTTGGTGTGGTCCTGTGACGTAGTCTTTACTAGCAAATGTTTGCCTTTCTTTCTTGCCTCTAACTTTTAGGTTTCTTTTCTTTCTAGTCGGGCCTTGAAAAGAGCATAGACCAGGCTGTGGAAGAGTGGAACATTGAGAAGGCTGAGGAGCTCAGCAATCAGCTAGCTACTCGAGAGGTGAGTCAGCCCAACTGATGGCACTCTTCTGTGCTTCCAGATCTTCTAAAATGAGTGTATGTTCTTTCTGTGATCATGAGTAAGTTCAGTTTTCAAATATTTGACCTAAGATTTTCCTTTCTGTCCGTTTTCTTCCCTCTTAAATCCACCTTTTATTTCGAAATGCTGGGTTTTATTTTTGTCTTTAATGTTATTAAATTATTCTGATCTAAATCTTGTGCTGGAAATAATCCATGATTAATATTCAACCCCTAGATTTCATCTAGTTCAGAGAGCTTTTTGCCAGTTATGATTAAAAGGCTAGCTTTCTTTTTCCATTTGCATCTTTAACTCAGTTTAACTCTCCCTGAGGGCAGCCGTGTGTTCTAATGTCACACCTCTCAACATGTTCCTAACCCTTGCTCCCCAGAATGCTTTCTTACTGCATATTCTAAGTAGTTGCCTCAACCCTAAAGAATTTTCAGCCTTTTTTTTAAAACCTGTAGTCTATAGTATAAAACTAATAGGTATATTGAATATTCTTTTTCCAAGTACCAAGGCATCAGAAGGTTCTCACTTGCACCCTCTGGGAGGAATATTCCTCCAATTAGGAATGACTGCCAGGTATCGCTAGGTAAAGTCACACATAAAGAGCTCATAATTGGCATATGTTTTTTTGTCGTTGTTTTGTAAATCTTTTTTGTCCTAGTTTCTAGGAAGAAAGCTCTATCAAAGCTTTCTTTTTTAATATATCCCTACCTGCTTTGCCTCATTCTTAAACTATAACTACTCCATGGTGTTTAATTACATAGAGAATATCATCGGTCACCTGTGTAAACTCTTGGCACGTGCACTGATCTTTCTTATTCACATTTTTGTGAACATTTTTTCTAAACTAAGACTAGTGGTGAAATTACTATTTCAGTAAATTCTTCTATGGAAACACCATTCCACTCTTACATCCGCTGATGTCAAAACATCTACCATTGGTGGCTGTATGTTGGCTTGTTTGTTTTCTCTATTTGGTTGCTGGCCACAAGTATCTTGTGGGATTTATACTTTCATGTAGGGGAGAAAACCAGTTCAGAAGCAAGGCTTAGGGATTCACAGGTTATCTTTTTTTTCCCCCTAAGCCTTAAAATCAGTTGTCACATTAGATATTGATACTTCCATTTATAATGTTTATGTATATGTATGTGCATTTATTAATGGCTAATCTAAAGAAAATTAGGAAGCTGTGAGCTTGAGTTTGGGACCTTGGTAAGAAGCAGCATAAATGGCAGTTATGCGACCTTTCAAAAATGTGAGATTTTAAAAAAGGGTTTTTTTTTTTTTTTGGTAAGATTCATTCATCCCTCCTAGCCTATGATATTCTTGTGCTTTCAGTTTGAAAATTGCTCTTTTCATCTTTAAAATAACCATATTTTGATTTCATTGATTATAGCATTCATTGAGTATAATAGCATTTTATTATTCTCTTTCCAAGTAGAAAGATTCAGGTATTACATTTGAATGCAGTGAATTTGATGGTGTGTTGAATGGTACCACAAACTCAGTAGGATTTCAGTGTTAGCTGTTAGTTATTGTAGTGGCTTCTTCAGTCACTAAGTTTCCTCAGATCTTTGCTTTGCTAAAGGAAGAAAGAGTAATGCCAGCCCTGGTCTATAACGTTAGAATGTGGGCTGCCCATGATCCATCCATGGCTGGCTATTTTTCTGTCTTTTTTCTGTTTTTTAGCACCCATACCAGAGGCCAGGGGAATTCAGAGAGAAGCATTTACTTTACTGCAGCACTGTGTTCCTTTTAGGTAAAGTTAGTAATGCTAAAATTTTAAGAGTTGAACACTTTGATTTTTTTTTAAAAAATCTTTTATCTTGAAATAATTTCAAACTTTCAGAAAGTTGCAAAATTTGCAAAATGTTAACAGTTAACATTTGCTTTACCATTCTTTCTAATTTATGTACCTTATTTAGATTTACCAAATATGTCACTGATTTCCTTTATAGCAAAAGAAAATTTTTTTTCTGGTCATGTCTTTTTAGTCTTCTTTAATCTGGAATGTTTCCTCAGTCTGTCTTTGTTTCTCAGGACCTTAGTATTTTTGGAGAGTAGAGGCCACTTATGTTGTAGGATGCCCCTCAGTTTTTGTTTGTCTGATGCTTCCTCATGATTAGATTCAGGTTATGCATTTTTTGGCAGGAAGATCACAGACATGATAGTGTGTCCTTCTCAGTGCAGGATATCAGGAGGCATGTGATATCTATTTGTCCAATTTATTGCTTATGTTCCTTTGATTATTTGGGTAAGGTGGTGTCTCCAGGTTTCCCCTCTATAACGTTACTGTTCTTCCCTATATAATTATGAGTATCGTATGGAGAGATGGGAGATGATTTGAGACTGTAAATATGCTTTTCCTCACTGTTCTTTACTTGCTAGTTTCAATATTCACTGCTGATTGTTTTCCTGCTCAAGACAATTATTATTATAGTAAGATCTTGAAAACATTATTTGATTGTACTTATCATCTTTACCTGGCAAATCAGATCTAAAATGTGCCTTCAGTGAGATACCGGATTCTAGAATCTTTTATGTATCTATACTAAATCTCTCAGTAACCTGGTCAATTGGGAATTGGATATAGTTTCCCTAAGTGATGCGCTGGGAGGGCTGGGGTTGCAGTGGCCTTGCGTCCACCAGGGTTGCATGTTCACTCCCTCCTTGTCTGCCTCATCAGTGGCCACGCGTGAGCTCTCCTTTCCCTGCCGCAGGAAGCTGCTTGTCAGAGGGAACAGAAGTAGTGCCTCCGAGGCCTCAGAAATCTGTGTTTCCTTTGAGAATATTAAATTTCTGTGTTTTGTTTTGTCAGACTGCTATTTTAGAAATGGGAATTGCATAACACTGGCCAGGTATTTTCCATTTTAAGAGTTGTTATTTCCTGTCACACTTCATGACATATGAATGAGATTGCTTTAGGAATTTATACTATTTTTAGCACTTGTAAGGATAGTAAACATTTTCCCCAAGTGTTCTTTTTACTTCCATACAAGTATAATGCTTTGTTCTAGTAAAAGAAATGTATGTAGTGTGGGGTTAAAGAATTCTGATTAAAAGGAAAAACAATAATTTGGGCCCTATTCTTTTACATGTATAAGTGGAAAAACATCTGGAAAGTTTTTGCTGGTCAGACACAGACATTGGAGAGATACTGATGCCGTGTTAATTAAACACCCGCGAAGAATAACTAAAGTAATCAAGATGGAATTCTTGAATGAATAGTTTAGTTTGAGGTTTAGTTTCTCATGTTTATCTCCTTGGTGCGAATCACTGTGGATATGAAAGATGGGATTTTGCGAAGTAAGTAATTGTGAGTTTGGGGCAGAAACCCTTTATGAATTAAATGTATATGTGCATGGTAGGTGTCCTTTTGGAAATCAGGTATATGGGTTTTTAATCAGTACCGTTTTCTTCTTTTTAAGAAGCAGTGACTGGGACTTGCTGATAAAGCCTTTGCTCAGAGGCACAGACCCCAGAGTTCTTAAAGCCTTTTCCAACCATAATAAGTGAAACTAATTTTCGATGTTTAACATTTATAAGCCTGTGAAACCAATAGGGCGACATCAGTATTGAGAAAAGTGAAGCCAAAAGAAGAGCCATGTCTGAGAATGGGCCTTGAAAACAGTTCCTCAAAACAGGGCAAAACAAAACAGAACAAACTGGCATGCCAGAACAAAGCTGTCAGTGCACTAGCATTATGACACAGCAAGCATATATTTTTCCAGAATCATATTCCCTTAAATTAATGATGACGTTAAAGATGTATTTAATCTGGTTTGGGGGATGGCTCAGGTTCACATGTTGGAAAGCTAGATTGTGCTATCAAGTTTGGTTTTGCCGTGTAGTAATGTGGTTGCTTTGGGACTGTCCCTCCTGTTGATTAAATCCTTCTTTGTTGTTAACAATCTTGGAGGAGAGCTAAAGTGGAAAAGTCCTGTTGATTAAATCCTTCCTTGTTGTTAACAGTCTTGGAGGAGAGCTAAAGTGGAAAAGTACACTTGGGTTTGTGTCATACTGATGAAACTGTTCTAATTTGAAAACAAAAGTTCTTTTTTTAAACAATACTATTTATATATATATGTCATACGTGTACATTCACACACGCACATGCACACAGGTGTCTGAGCACATTCGTAGCTTGTTAACCTCAGGCCTGAATTGGAAGGACATTCCGTTCATTGATAGTGATCCTCGAAAATGCCGTCCTTTGGTGCTTGCCTTTTCTGGCACACCATCTTCGTTACAATCCAGATCATACCAATTTGTAGAAACCAGGAGAAACAAGTATCTCAAAATTAAGTGCTAAAGCCTAGATTTAATAAAGTAAGCTGCACTTCAGCTGAATCTCCCATTTTGGAAAGAGAATTTTTCTCTAGGCGTCTTCGTGGTAGCCAGCTGTAGATAAAAACCAGCGTGGTTTGGCAGCAGACAGTGAGTTTCTCCCGTCGAATGAGTCACACCTACGTTAGCTACGTCTGTTGCTTTCAATTATAGCTGTACAATGTCAGGGCAGAAATGAGCGGGGAAGGGAGGTGGCCTGTGAATTTGGTTTGCGCTTTGTATACCTCATGCCCTTAAAGGTTGCCTTTTCTGTAAGTGACTCAAATAGGATGGCCTTCGGCAGCACCAGCTAAACTTAATTCCTTGAAAACATCAGTACATACTTCATGTTGTAATGTTATAACCATTTCGTATAACTTAGAATAGTCATTAAAAAAATAATTTGCAAGGTTTTAATATTCCCATCTGAGATATTTTGGTTATAATCTGCTACCATCTTTGCTAAGGCCAAAACCTTTCAGTTTGGAGTAATGAATATAATGTTTCACATTTTAAAGCTCTTTTGCTGCAACTTCTGGATGGAGGCCTAAGGCAATGACTTCAGCCTTTAGTGCTGTTAAGTATAGTATTTATTTAGAACCTAACCAAGGTATCACAAGTATAAAATGATTTTAAAAAAGTATCTC